TTGGGATAGAGCCCAGGTCTTTTTGAAAACTCTGTCAACTGCACTACAGCCCTCTTCCTCAGCAATTGTTTTCACAATGATAAAATAATAGTGTCTTGGCTACTGTATGTGAATTGGACCACCAGGGAGGTTTATTTTCTTCTCATTCCTTATCTATTTTTACATATTATTATCTTCCTTATATTTGGCTATCTTTACCCACTACAGCATTAGTTTCACATGGACCAGGATTTTTGGTGAGTTTGTTCATTATTGTATATCTCCAGTGCTTAAAGCAACTCCAGCTCTGTGGTTAGCTTTTGATAACTAACCATTGGATCAATGAAGAAACAAGAAAGCACTCAGGGGCTGGCTAAAATGCAAACAAGCCTGATTTTTTATCTCCTGGGCCCACAAGGTAGAATGAGAGAACTGACTCCCAAAAGTTATTTTCTGATGTGTCATGCACATAGCCTAAAATAAATGGAAATTAAAAATTCAGATAAATTACAGAGCCTGAATTTGAATCTTGTCTGTCTGATACTAGGTCTGTGTACTCATTCACTGAGTTAAAAATGGCCTCACTGATGCTAATTCAGACTTAGTATTGTTTGCCTCCTAGTCTGTAAGAGGCTGCTCCTCAACTCCACTGTGGTTTGGCTTCTCTTATATCTAACCAAAGAGCTTATAAAATTAGAAGAAAACCATAGTATAGACTTCCATCATGACTTTGGGATGAGCTCTTGTCCTCAGTGAGTCTTTGAAATACTGATCTGTTTTTCTGGCATACAATCTTTAGTTTCCTGCAGGAAAGCCATTGTTTCCATACCCATTCTGACTTGACCTCCCCAGGTGGACTGCTGCCATGTATGAAGAAGTTGGTTAGTAACCTATCTTCAGTGAGGATATTCATGTCAGAAAAGAGGAAGGCTCATTGAGGGGCCCAGGCCTCTTTCTACCACAGTATGAAGTTTCCTCTAGTCTCTTTTTGCTATCTACATGGAAGGCCACTGTCTCTAGAATAGCCGAGGTACCTTCAGTTATATGGAATCCCATCATTCAAGATTTTTTTTTTTTTTTTTTTTTTGTCAGTTCTGGGAACTGAAACTCTTCAGATCTTGAAGACTTGCAATTTTGAGGAAGATTAAGATTTGAGGTTTCCACAAATGGGCCTCTCTAGGAAGGTTAAGACAATTGAGCCTGAGAAAGATTCTCAAGGTGAAGGGTTGGCAGGGGCAGGGCTTGATAGATCACTAATATGTGGGAAGGAAGGAGAGGAGGCAGCTGATGGAATAGCACAGGAAAAAGAATGTTACTCCTTGCTGAGGATGTTGGAACAGTATCTTTGTCTGCTTGGTTACACATACTCACTTAAGAAAAAAAAAATCTCTGGAACCAAGAACAGAGGATGAATGAATAATCGTGATTAACTGTCTTTGTAACACTTAGTATAACTTAGTGGGTGGCAGCATAATTAGAAACAACCTTATATGGAGCCACAAAGGGAATTTAGCTGTCCCTGTGTTTCTGTTGTTAGAGTCTCTTTATTCTTCTAGTTGACAAAAGTCAGGGAACTGGTAGATGGCAATGCTGGGACTTGGGCCACTCTCTGTAATCCCAAAGCTTCTGACAATTTTTTAAAAAGGATTAAACCACTGGACAAGCAAAATAAAGGAAGACCCATTCCTCAGTTTATAGCTTTAATTTCTTGTCAGTTCAGACATTAGTATGCTTTTGTTTGTTGGTCTTAGATGTGTTCTAGTTGTTCTGCCTTAACTTTTCTTCCAAGACTCCCTGTTTCAGGCATGAACTGTGCATCAACCATACAAGCAACATGGAATGCCTTTCTATTCTAGAAGTTAATGCTTCATGGGCTCACAAGATTGCTCAGATGCTAAAGGCATCTGCTGTTAAGTACAATAGGCTGGCTGAATTTCATTCCTGGTTTCAACATGGAGTAAAGAGAACTAGCTGTCCTCTGTTCTTCACATACATACATACATACACACACACACACACACACACACACACACACACACACACACAATCAATAATCAAATAAATTCAATAAAAGTGTGTGCTGTGAACACTCAAAAAGGAAAAGAAGAGGGGCTGGAGAGATGGCTCAGAGGTTAAGAGCACTGGCTCTTCTTCCAGAAGTCCTGAGTTCAATTCCCAGCAACCACATGGTGGCTCACAACCATCTATGAAGAGATCTGGTGCCCTCTTCTGGTGTGAAGGCGTACATGCTGTCAGAATACTGTATGAATAATAAATAAATTATTTTAAAAAAAAGGAAAAGAGGAATGGAGAGGAGGGGAAGGGAGGAGAGAGGAGGAAAGAAGAGGGAAAAACTGGAAGGGAGGGTAAGGGATGGGAAGAGAAGGAAGGGCAAGGGAAGGGAGGGAAGGGAAGAGAAAGGGAACACAATGAATGAACTACTTTAAAAGTTTTCAGGGTTGGGATGCTGCTCAGCGGTAGAGAGCCTGTGCAGCGTGCACAGTGCCTTGTCTTACATCTCAGCAGTGCTTGGCAAACAAATAGCAAGGAGGTGAAACAAAACCAAACCTGCAGGATTCACCACAGATGATGTATGATAAATGGTGCCGTCTGTTGGGGGAGATTAACGTGAAAAGTCTTAGGGTGTTAGAATAACCTGGGAAGACCATGGGATTCACATGATAAAGAGAGTGACCTCCTTAGTTGCTAACCTTTGAAACTGCAGCCCCTCAGATGAGTCTTTATCTTGCTGCACATCCTGAGGATTATGCCATGAGTGATCCTGCTCAAGGAGGTAGGTAGTGGTGTTCTCACATCTCATTCTAGGGTGAAAACACAGCTGCTTAAGTTCGAATTTGGTTCTCTCATTTTAAGGGTGTGTCAGTGGTGAGGATGTAGCTCAGTTTGCAGAGTGCTGGGCTCCTTCCCTCCATGATGGCATAAACTGTAATCCTAGCACTTAGGAGATGGAAGCATGACAATCAGGAGCCCATCCTCCTGATCACCTGACCACAGGAGACCCAATCTCAGCAGCTAACAAGCGATCCCACCAACCAACTGACTGAACAACTGACTTTGTAATCCCACTCCATAGGATTATGGAAAAAATAAATAGAACAAAACGAAAACATTTTCATAGAGTGTTCCTAAGAGAAAAAAAAAATTATGCATTTGAAAAGCCAGGTCACTTTTTATTTGCATTGTCAACACACACAAGTATATAATTGTAAGTGGAAGTCAAACTCTTCCCATCAAGAGTTCTTTGATTTACCGCTTTTTCATAATTTTAATTGGACTCAGATAATTGTCTGCCCTCATCTGCAAACATTCTGTTTTTTGCTAAAGTTGTTCATTTTTATTTTTGTTTCTCTCTCGTTTTGAACTTAGAAACTGCTGACAATACATGCTTGAGAAAAGTCCCATATCGCCTCCGTCTGAGTCAGCAGGTGGTCCTTGTTCCCAATTCCCTCCACACAGTTCTGTTTTCTCATTCTACAGGTTTCTCATTCTACAAATTTCCCAGTGATTTCAGCAGCCTTTGTCAGAACCGCTTCAAACGCCAACTCAGCTCCCCACTTTGAAGTGGGTGGAGTGAAACCACACAGAGCGTTCCAGCAGTGATGAGCAGAAGGCCTTGCTTTCATGTGTACATGACCTTCACCTTAACAGCTTGAGACAAGGACTTGTGTTGACAAGAGTTTGCTAACACATCCTTGTGATGACACATCCTGTCAGCTGTCTACAGTCAGTTCTCTAACACCAGTATCCTATTGGCTGTTGGGCATTCTCTTAAGGAATGGATCTCTATTTTAATCTTCTGATGAATTTTTCTCTATTTCTGTTTAAAATAGAGAACATGAACTGACATCAACTTTTTGTGATTTTGCTCTTTGTTGTTCTTGAATGGAAGAATAAGTTAATAAATCATAAAAGCTATTTGATAATAAGTATTGAAATTGAGAAGTAGTGATGTTTATTTTTGTTTTTCATTAAAGTATTTCTTCTGGAGAGAGGTTATGTTGTAACGAAACAACACAATATTTCACATCTATGATCACAGTGCTTACAAAGCCAAGCCAGGAGGATTGTCTACTGTAGTATCCACTGTAGATTAAATAAATCAGTCTGAAGGATGTGTGGCGCAGTGGGCTGGGATGAGTTCAAAGTCCTTCTGGGATATATAGTGACCTCCAAGCTTCCTGGGCTACAGTATAAGACCCTGTGCATTTCCAAAGTATCTGCTTGGGTCATTGCAGGAAGTAAATGCCTTTTAAATTTGATGGGAAGTAATCCCTCAAAACATAGTCCTAATTATGTCCATAGTACGTGGTCCTAACCGTTACAGTGGCTGCATTCCGCCAGAGCCCAGGTACAGGAGCTTGGACATGTAGGAAATTCGTATAGGTCTCCACAGCCATAAAAAGATTATGCCAGGATACTGAAATCCCAGCTTGGGACTCAATCAGCTACAGTGTCTCAAAGACTTCAAGCTTCACTGGTCCATTTCTGAGACCAGCAAGGGGATGCAGCAAGGATCCTCACTGCTGTTGCTCAGGACAGAATATAGTTGAGAACTCATCAGCCTATAAACCTTTTGCAAACAGGACTTTGTCTCTCTTTCTATGGGAATAAATATATCACTTTGCTATTCTTATTACCTGAAAATCTCAGAGTGGCTGGTTTTCCTACAAAAGGAAGAAGACATTTTTGCCCAGTGAAGTGAAAAATACACTAACCTCTGCTTCTCACACTATATCCATAAATATGCTGAGACCATTTATTTTGCCAGATGGGTTTTGGTATCCCCCACTGAAACTAGAGACACCCTCATTTTCCATTCCCCTCAGATTCTGCCACAAACCACACTTAGGAAGAAGGAAAAAAAAAAAAAAGACATGTAAGCATGTTTACCTTCGACTCAATAGGAAGTTAACACACGTCCCTGAGTCATGACTCATCGTTATGGTCTATAAAATAGAAGGTGCTTGTCCCGGGAAAGTTAGACTCAGCCACTGCTGCTCACCATGCGTTCAGCTGTCCTGGCCACCGCTGCCTTCTTCTTGTTGAGCTGGACTCACTGTTGGTCCCTGCCCCTTCCCAATAGTGATGATGATGATGATGACTTGTCTGAGGAAGACCTCGACTTTGCAGAGGTACAATATTCTGCCAAGCCTGGCATTGTAGGGCATCTCTTAAGTCTTATTTCTCTTAAGAGTGTGTTGTTTTGGTCTCTTTTCTAGCACTACCTGAAGTCATACTATCATCCTGTGACTCTTGCGGGCATCCTGAAGAAGTCTGCAGTGACCTCCACAGTTGATAGGCTCCGAGAAATGCAGTCTTTCTTTGGCCTAGAGGTGACTGGCAAACTGGACGAGCCCACCTTAGACATCATGAGAAAACCAAGATGCGGAGTCCCTGATGTGGGGGAATACAATGTTTTCCCTCGAACTCTCAAATGGCCCCAAACGAATTTGACTTACAGGTAAAGCACAGCTTTTAGCTTCCTCTCCTGTGTTTGTCTTCCCTTCTAAGTGTCTGACATTAAGCGGGCCTGGAGTATTTAATTGGAAGTTCAGGACTAGCTTTAATACAAAGTTAAGAAGCATAGAAGTAAGTTATATTTAGTGTTGGATTTTTTTCATTTTTCTACAAAAGTAAAAGCTTATATTACACTTAGTATTTCTAAAAATAGTTCTATAAGTCATTGTTAAACATTAAAATGAATAAATTAGTTTAATAAGACCTATTATCTTAGTGCTAGCCTCAACATTATTCTTCAGTAAATGCCTCAAGATATTTCTTTTAGAAATGAAACCACAAGTCAGGCAGAGATTCTAGAAAATCCGCTGTTTACGATGAAGCTCCTGACGATAGAGGGTTTCATTTTTTTTTTTCCCAAAAACTCTTTAGTGCCGCCTTGTTTGGTTCCAAATTTCAGCATGTAAACAGGTTATATTTGAGTATTTTAAATTAAGATGCCAAGTACTCACTTATTTGGTACTGTTTAAATATTTGAGAGAACTCTTGAATTTTATTCTTGTAAAGTATCTATTATACCTGAAAGAATTTTTTTTTTTTTTTTTTTTTTTTTTTGTAGTTGTTGTTTGTTTGTTTGAGACAGGATTTTTCTGTGTAGTCTTGACTGTCCTGGATTCACTTTGTAGAGCAGGCTGGCCTTGAACTCACAGAGATACGCTTGCCTCTGCCTCCCTGAGTGCTGGGATCACAGGCGTGCCCCATTGTGCCTGGCTCCTCACAGAACTTTTAAAGGAGCCATTTCCAGTTGAAACGTGCTGTTCTAAGAAAGTGTATTTTAAAAACAGTTCTACTATTTGAGAATGTAACTGACACTTCCTATGTTGAATAGAATTGTGAACTACACTCCTGACATGTCTCATTCTGAAGTGGAAAAGGCCTTCAAAAAGGCCTTCAAGGTCTGGTCTGATGTGACTCCCCTGAGTTTCACCAGAATCCACGATGGCACTGCTGACATCATGATATCTTTTGGAACTAAAGGTAAAGATGGGGCATCATTTTAAAACATGTTAATATATTGATCCTTTCTCGTTCTCATGTTTTATTCCTTTCACCAGTCACTCATCATTTTCAAAGCGCTTAATGAAATTCTGCCAGCCCCTGCTAAACCAGGCACTACTGTGTTTAATGGGATTCTAATTCTTAATTCTGTGCCTAGAACATGGCGACTTCTATCCATTTGATGGACCTTCTGGCCTTCTGGCACATGCTTTTCCTCCTGGACCAAACTATGGAGGGGATGCCCATTTTGATGATGATGAGACCTGGACGAGCAGTTCCAAAGGTAATCTTCCTTATAAAGACTGAGCTCACATGGTATCGGACCTGGGCTCACTGACACAGTTAGAAAGCATATGAGTAAATTGAATTTAGTGTTTGATTATATTTTCTAAAATAACAAAAAGTATATTTTGCACTTACCAATTTTTTTACAAATCATTAAATATGAATAAATTATATGACATTTGTTATTGTGGCTTCAAGGACAATCTCTCTGAAGTGAGGTCAAATGTTTTCTCTTTTATGCATGGTTCTGTTTCTTATTCTTGATTACAGTTTTGCCTGTTAAAGAAGTATAGTTTATTATAAATGTATGTCTAAAAACCATTAGGCTGGATCTGTGCTTCACAACTATATTGGATGTTAACTGAAATTTTTTTTTTCTTGGCTGAAATATTAATGTCAGGTTCAGCCAAACTTCTTTTCTTCATTGGGCATTTTACTTGTCTTGGACTTTCCTACAGCCTTCACTTATAAATACTGCTTTGTGAAAGCAATGGAACATCCTATTCCAAATAGCTAACAGGCAGAAGTTGCACAGAAACTGCTGTGGCTACCACCTTCAGCTATTTCTTGTCTTTAAAAGCACAAATTAAGTGTGATGTCAAGTTACCAACAAAAACCTCATATTATTCAAAGTAGGATTTAGCTTTGGAACAGAGATCCTTAGTTAGGGCAATTAAGAACAATCTTCATAGAAGTTGGGGTTATTATTTATTATTTACTTAAATAAGATGGCAGCCACAGCGATGTACGTCTGTAATCCAAGCTCCTGTAATCTCAGGAGGCTGAAGATAGATCATGAATTTGAGTCCAGCCTGAGATGTATAAGGAAACTCTGTATAAAAAAAAAAATTAAGTAAACATGAATGAGAATGAATGAATGAATGAATGAATGAATGAATGAATGAATGAATGAATAGGATACCTGCTCCTTCCAGGGTAAAACTGGCCCATTTGCAATGGATCCCTCTCCAATGCTTTTAATCAGTCCTATAGGGGTAGAGGATGATTTGCATATTCATGTTCTTAATCTCATGGGAAAGGGCGGGTTTACTGAGAAGAACCTCTAACATTGCTAAGGAAAAGTCACAGCAAATCTCAGATTCAGACTCTTACAGAAGTCACACGTTTGATATGTTTAGTTGAAATAATTGAAAATATACAGGACAAAAATTCTGGGTTAAGCTTTCAGATAAAGGCCTAGAACGGGGAACCACTACTAGTCACTGCAATAATTATTGATCATTCCGATCATGTGACCTTTGATTGCCCTATAATTGGCAAGTTAGTTCGCTTTCTTTGTATATTTGCTCTGATAACAAAGTATATTTAGTGAACAAATAAGACACTAGCTCAAGCTCCTCCTCGCCTATCTTTCTTGAGAAAACCCTTTCTGTGGTGCTGGAGATTGAGCCCAGGGCCTTTGTGCATACCAGGCACAGAGTGCTCTACTATTGAGATACATCCCTAGCCCTACTCCCCACCACACACTCACACACAATTTCAAATAATAGTCTAAAAGAGTTGTTAGAGGAAAAATGAAAATAGAGCGACATGTTCATTATCTCTCTTAATAAAAGCTTAAGCTAAAGCTAGAGCTTTGCAGGACCTTAGTGAACTCCATATAGCTGATTCCAGATCGTTGCTGTCCACTCCCTTAACCTGGACAGAAAAGACAAAAATAAAAAATCTTTACTGACTACTAAATATCTGAGAACAATCCATTTGCATTGCTGTAGGTAAACGATTCTTCATGCAGGGAGCTGAAGTCCTTGCAGTCGTTAGGATTAGTACTTTAAATCAACATTTGAATCCTTCTTGAGTAAGATGAAGAATTAGGAAAAGATAGATGGAAAGATTAGGGTTTCCTTCATTCCCTCCTCAATGGGGGATCTTTTTTTAAAATTTATTACACTTTATTCACTTTGTGTCCCTGCTGTAGCCCCCTCCCTCACCTCCTCCTGGTCCTACCCTCCCTTCCTTGTTTTCTCATGGTTTCCTGTTTTCTTTACAGGCTACAACTTGTTTCTTGTTGCTGCCCATGAGCTTGGACACTCCCTAGGTCTGGATCACTCCAAGGACCCAGGGGCCCTGATGTTTCCCATCTACACTTACACTGGCAAAAGCCACTTCGTGCTTCCTGATGATGATGTTCAAGGAATCCAGTCTCTCTACGGTAACCCTTAACCTACCAGTTATAACACTGACGAACAGAGTTACATTGGCACGATAGACACACATTTTATTTCTCCACTAATAACCTACTTACCATGTTTTCAAAAGATGAAGGAAAAGAATCTATCATTCTGAATCAAGCTATTTGCTTGGGTAGAGACCAGTTAATTTCTAATTGTTTTTCAGACCATAGTTCTTTGTGTATGTGCTGTTGTTCCTCATTTAACTTAAGAAGGCCCTGAACTCTGCTGAGTTTAAAGAGTGCACGTACAGCAGCAGAGGTAATGATGAACATGAAGACATACACAGCTCTTATACATTCTGACATTCTTCATCCACTGCACTTTGTTGCTAGAGGAAGCTCTTGTGGGGCCTTTAGTGGTTTTTAACCAACATCTGTAAAGAGAGATTTCCTCTTTATTTTCTTCCAGTGTTCCAGTGATATTTACAAAACATTTAAACTTCAACCCAAACATTTATTCCTGGGTTCTGTGTCATAAATAGAAGGACAGCCACTGCTCACAGGCATCAGCACGAACGCTCTTGAAGTGTTAGTTCAGAAAACTTGCTCAAGCTTCTCTAGCCCACTGTTACACCTCTGGATTTAAACAATTATGGTATGACTGAAGGCATAAACTTGAAGGGGGCAAAGGGACTTTTCAAGTTGATTTTGCAATTCTTAATTCCACCATGATGTGAGCAAGATATTGTGGACAGCATTATGTAGGGGGAAAGGCAGTGTGGGGTTAGAACTCCACACCTGTGGGCTGTGGAAAACTTACAAACACATGTCAGGTCACAGTGGAGCTGCTACGAGGCCTGCTCATCACTGAGATGAGCTGCAGGGTGGCAAACTCGTAAAGCAAAATCAGCTGACATCTGAGGTTGTTGAAATAGTCAAAAGGAGGAGGCAAGATGAAGGATTCCACGGGTGATGCTCCTGGAGACCTGGCCTTCAAGCAGTGTGCCTCCTGAGGGCTGTCATAGGCTCCAACTGTGTGACAGAAATGATCTCAGGGTTTGGGTTTACCTTGGATTTTTACCATCGACTTGAAGAAGAATTTTGAAGAGGCCCAGAGCAGTGAAAGCAGAGGGTAGTAGCACCCTGGTAGCCCCTGGCAGCCTTCAGGAAAGGATTGCTTGGTGTTGCGTGTTGAGTTCCGGAAGTGCGGCCCTTCAAGGATCAGCGGTCCTGTGACGAGGGACACCTGAAAACCTCTCACGTCTTCTTTGTCACTGCAGGGCCAGGAGATGAAGATCCCGACGACCGTAAACACCCAAAAACACCAGAGAAATGTGATCCAGCCTTATCACTCGACGCCATTACCAGTCTTCGAGGAGAAACCATGATCTTTAAAGACAGGTACTGTTGAGATTCCTTTGTCAAATCTGTGTGCAACGAGCTCTGGTAAAGCTATGGCAGCAAACGGCCAAAGCATCCATCACACTTGCCAAGGGCAACACAGAAACAGTAGACCCAAGGGCAGTTTACTTACATGTTTTGAACCAAATAACTGGTAGATAAATCCTAGTAAGATAAAGGGAAAATAGAAACTCAATTTCTTGAAAAACATGATAACCACTGAAAGTAATTGCTACTTAGTGAAGTTACCAGTAGCCACACTACTTTCTTTCAAGATACAGAGACTGATTCCAAACGCCTGTTTTGGAATTGTCAAAGAGGGAGTGATTTACAAGAGAAGCCTATAGGTCAGGAAACAGGAAATATTCAGGTTGTAGGTGGTTATATCTCGCGCTTACCTGTTTATCTCTTCATTCGTCCATGTGTGGCCTGATGGCCTTCCCACCACCGCTGTAGTTGTGGCTCCAATTGCATGATCTCCAGGGTGTTTTCTCTTGTCAGTTTGCGAGGGCCTTAAGATCATGGAAGATACGTTCCTAAAACTCACCGGTGCATGGCAGATTTGCTTGCCACTCTGCATACATACAAAGTTGAATAAAGCATGGTTTCAGCCCATAGTAAACTTAGAGCCTTCACTAAGGTTCTGTGACATTTCAAATGAGAAGACATCAGGCTAGAACTTGGATGGCTAGACCTTATAACTAGAGGGGGAGATGACGTTTCTTTTCCCTTTATGGGTATCAGGCGTGGTGATAGTTCCTGATCTGCGTTGATGGGGACAGTGGTAACTAGCAGGACGGAATCGCTGCACTTAGTGTGACAAACCGTGTTTTCCTTTTGCATTAGATTCTTCTGGCGTCTGCACCCTCAGCAGGTAGAGGCTGAGCTGTTTTTGACAAAATCCTTTTGGCCAGAACTTCCCAACCATGTGGATGCTGCTTATGAACATCCATCCCGGGACCTCATGTTCATCTTTAGAGGTAAGGCTGCCACCGGGCTGTCTTTCGAAACGGCCAGCAGAAATCCACCCATCTGTGAATACTGTTATTGCCAGAGACTTGGTTTCATGACCACTACCAAAATAATATCTCAATTAAGAAAACAGTAACACGGGGAAAACAGAAAGTACCTGCACCTCTTCTACAGAATGTCCTTAATTTGGAATGTAAAATGGGAAGAGGGACTGCCTCTGACATAATCTGATTGGCCTGCTCGTTGATCACCTCGCCCTGAGTGGGGAGCAGCCTTACCAGGCCACGGTAGAGGACAATGCAGCCAATTTTGATGAGAACTGATAGACTAAGATCAGAAAGGAGAGGAGAACCTCCCCTCTCAGTGGACTTGGGGAGTGGCATGCATGCAGAAAGGGGAGGGAGGGTGGGATCGGGAAGGGAGGAGGGAGGGGCTTATGGGGGGATACAAAATGAATAAAGTGTAATTAATAAAAAATAAAGAAAAACTCTGTGTTATGGGATGGAAACATGGCCTCAAACACATTTGAGGCCATTGGGTTTGACCCAGAAATGCAAAGGGAAAACCAAGACAGGACACTGTTATCATACCCATTCTTTGCTTTATCACCCTCATTTCAGGTTTCCCTTTTAGTTTCTTTTTTGTTGTATTTTTAAATTTTTTATATTAATTACAGTTTATTCACTTTGTATCCCATCTATATTCCCCTCCCTCTCTCCTCATTTCCTCTCATGCCTCTCTCCAAGTCCACTGATAGGGGAGGTCTTTTCCACTTCCATCTGACCCTAGACTATCAGGTCTCATCAAGACTGGCTGCATTGTCTTCCTATGTGGATTGCTAAGGAAACATAGTTAATACATTTTGAAAATGTGAAAAAAATTCATCATGATTTTTCCTTCTATTATTATTCCATTTCCCGATCTTCTTTTCTAGTCCTTTGCCATATTTATGTGTGTTTGAGGCAGACTGTGGATATACCTTTTATGCTCTATCTGTTTTCTTTATTCCCTGGCTAGGCTGATTACTCCACGAGCCCTTAGGATCCTTCATTTACAGCCCTGGCCCCCAGTGCCTGGCTTTGTACATGAGTGCTCAGAATCTGGGCTCAGGTCCTCATGCTTCCACAGCTAGCCCTCTTACACATGAGTCATCTCTCCAGTCCCTACTTATCCCTAATATTTACATGGATGGGGAGATGAAAATCCTACCCTGACTAAATGAACATAATGTATTTACACAACATTCTGCTAATGTTGTTCCTGTAGTTTGCCTCTTACACTTGATGAAGCTGCTTCCTAAAAAAAAAAAAAAAAGTAACTTTTTTATTGATATAAAATTTGAATTTGAATCCAATTCACTGATCCTAGTTATTTTTTGTTTAGAAATTTTAATATTTTTTTTATTCAGCTCCACACTCACTTAATGTTCAGAGCCAATATGTTGACAAATGGGTTGTGATGTTTGTCTGGCTGTATTGATAAACAGGAAGCCCTGGCCTTAAACTCTATCTTTGTCAGAAGGATGCTCCTATTTCTTTGTTTCAGACACACGGAGATCACTAACACTGAGTATGTTATTTCTTAGATAGATTTGCTTCTCGGTAAATGCTTATATGCTCAGCCCTAATATATGCTCATTGGTAATCAAATCTGTTCTTTCACTTATTCTAGGTAGAAAATTCTGGGCTCTCAGTGGTTATGACATTTTGGAAGGTTATCCCAAAAAAATATCTGAATTGGGATTTCCAAAAGAGGTGAAGAGGCTAAGTGCCGCCGTTCACTTTGAGGACACTGGGAAGACGCTCTTCTTCTCTGGGAACCAGGTGTGGAGGTGAGGCGTCCCCCTCCCCACCATGTCCATCCACACCTGTGGCTAACTGCTGCCCTCAACTGTTTCTTGTTCTCTGCTCTCAATGACAAAAGTGGTGTGACTGTTGAGCTTATATTTTTAAGTTTGCACACAAAGCCCTGGGCTTCACTCATTCCACATGTGACTTAGTCCGTCCATTCCTTCTTGCCTACCGCCCTCTCACACATACTCTCATACTCTTATTGTAGACGTGTACCAGCCCAACAGTCCTGTTCCATTTCAGCTCCTCTAGGGACTAACCCGCCCCCCACTCCTGTGCATACATCTAATGAATGCATGCACAGGCGCACTCGCGTGCGCACACACACACATGCAGGCACACACATCTCACACACACGCACACCATCTATAATATTTATTTTTCTCCCAGCCATTCATTCTTTTCTTTCTTCATGCAGCAAAGTCGTCTCCAAACTCTGGCAATTTTGTTCCTTCTGATCCTTTGTCTGAATTCTCTTTCTTGTCATCCTCTTCTGTGTTTTTGATAAATTCAGCTTTCCTTTTCTTATTAAACAGATACGATGATGCTAACCAGACTATGGACAAAGACTATCCCCAATTCATAGAAGATGAATTCCCTGGAATTGGTGATAAGGTAGACGCTGTCTATGAGAAAAATGGTAAGTGGCTACAATGTAGTGATTTTGCAGAGTAGCTGTGGGGCCCCTCAGAGAATTTTCACAGACAGCGGATTTTAGTACAGAACTCAGATGTCTTCTATAAGCATTGTTACTAAGGTAGTAATTGTTTCTGTGTGCTACTTAGATAGCAAACAGAATAACGTGCTTAGGATAACGAGAATTTTACTTAATTACTGCCAAGTGTGCGAATCACAGCTGTTGAACCTAAAGATGACTTTAAGTTATATGTAAAGGTGTCAAGAGGCAGGAGGTTATGTCATAATTCAAATTATGGCTGGAGTGGGGAGTGAATTATAAAGATTCATAACTATCATAACTATGGTTATTTTTGCTTTAATTATTACAATAGGTATTATCCCTAACTAAAAACCGTTAACAAACACCAATTTTTCTAACATCAAAACTACCACGAGAAGCAAGACAATTAACTCTAGAGTAAAATTTATGTAATCTGTAAATGTTTACATATTTTTAAAAATACCTTTAATTAAAGTACAATTATATAATTTCCCTTGCTTTCTTGTCCTCCCTTCAACCGCCTCCCATATTCCCCATTCACACTCTCAAGCTGCTGTCCTCTTTTTCTTTTATTTTTGTTGTCATTTTAAACTAAAAGCAATATATTAAAACTCTGGTATCATTTTTAAAAATAAAGACCGAGAGGTGTAAAACTTAATTAGAGATCCTGTGAGCCCTCACAGAACTCTGATGGCTCTCCAGCACCGCAGAGAGCAATTGGATAGTTAGGGAAGGGCCATCAAGATCCTGTCTCTACTCTTAGCTGCAGTAAATCCTAATAATTCTAAGTCTGAGATTTTTCTTTTTCTTTTCTTTCTTCCCAGGCTATCTCTACTTTTTCAATGGGCCGATACAGTTTGAGTACAGCATCTGGAGTAAGCGCATTGTGCGAGTCATGCAGACGAATTCCTTACTGTGGTGTTGAGCGTCTTTTCAAAATTGTTATTTAACTGCTAGAGAGCTTTTGGGATAACACTTTCAGACTGTGGGGGTGGTGCAGTGATGTGGGGGAGGGCTTAGTTCTGTGAACAAGCTTCAGTAAGTTATCTTTGAGCACGGTGTATCTATAAGACTATACGTGGCTGGAACCACACTGAAGAATCTTTAAGTAAGGAAACTGAGAGCCCTGAGGCTTGCCTCATTCTTGGGTGCTCTGAAGAAACAAGACTGATATTTCCTGCAACAAACATGGGGTCTATCTGTTCATAAGAGTGAACATAATTATTAATATATTTATCTAAAAGCCTAAAAGCCATGAAACAGATTATATTTATATAACTATGAATTGTCTTCACCAAAAAAATAAAATTCATAAACTTACAAGCATAAAACATGTTGGGAAGTGTGTGGTAGCCATCAGCGAACACAGATAAGTGGAAATACCTGTGAAATACATATTAGCAGACAATTTTCCAAAGGAGCCATTTGGGCTGTTCACTGTGAGTATTCAGACTTAAAGTCATTTTCACACAAACCCTAAGGAACTATCAAAGCCACTAAAGGAAGGAGAGTGCAGCCGCTGTGAGGGCAAGGGCAGCGCAGGTGGCATTGCATTAGGCTTAATTTTTATTGTGGATTGTCACTCAAGGGCTGTGAACACTAATAGAAAATAGAGAAACAGGATTTCTCTTTTTATTAAAAATATTTTAGGTCTTTAATAGGCCACAGAGTGAAACATCAAAGTTGTTATAAAATACCTATGTAAGCGCATAGCTTTTTTTCATAAATTATTTGACTGTTTTAGAATAAAACTAGTGTTTCAACCCTACTTACCTACCTAATTGTCTTGATTACCCAGTTTTGACACACAGATAGACCCTTGTAATGACTTGTGTGGCAGGAACTAAGGGAGACACTAAGCAAATCTGTTAAGGCACAGTCAGCCAGAACGAAAACCATGTCAACTGGGCAGTAATACTTTGAGACTACCCCTTTAGCTCCTTGTTTTGTCAGTCCTCACTGCTTTCCTTAGTGTCTGACGCTTGGCACTTACTGATATGTGAACAATTATTGTGCAAAGAGATGGTTTTATAACACTGGGTCAATGAAAAAGAAGTGTGTATTTGTACAATGTGTTAGACTGTGTTTATGTTGTTTTTAATAAAAAAAAATTGTTTTCAACAGATATTGATATTTGGTGTATTTGATGTTTGGCCATAATTTCAAATTTTCTTAAAACAAATGGTTACTTAAATTTCTTATAAAATGTAGCCTCTTCCCTTCTCCTCTCCCTCGTTCCTTCCTTCTAAATTTAAATATGGGAACTGTGTGTAACTAGCAATGTTGGTATAAATCCTGCCAGGGTTTGGTGGGCCTGACGCTGATGAGCTCTTCCTTTGGGCCAGCTTCTGAGATGGTGCCTGTACACTGTTTGAAATCCTACCTACAGAATGCCTTCGAGAAAGGAGGAGGCTGCTGTCAGGGCGACCAGCTTCTGGCCACACTGCTCTGCTTGAGCTTTTCATGTGTCTTTCAGTCTGCATGGGCCTTACTTTCTTAATCTGCAAAGGGACAGTTGGCAGCTCAAGTAAACTGGGGCATGAGGGAAGTATATGGAGGAAGCATTGAACATTAAGAGGAAGGCAAAGGTGCCCAGAATTCCATAGGTTATTGAAATCATCTTAGGAGTGTGTGTGTGTGTTTGTCCCTTTCCCTTTCCCTCTCTCCCTCTCATAAATAATAAGAAAATTAATTTTAGGCCATTCAAAACAGTAGCATGTGTTATCTGGTTCTTGGAAATTGAATAATGGACACCCTGATTTGTGGATGTGTGTTGGGGGGATGGTAAGTAATTATCAGCCGTCCCTCTGAAACATGGAGCACACCTACATAAGAACACGGAGGAAGTTCTTCTCAGGTGCAATCCCCTCTCTGCTGTGCCGGGTCCCACAGTTCCTCAGGACCATTGCAGTGCTGCCACCCTCAGGAAGACATGACCATCCTTCCTTTCATTCTTGCTCCCCCCAACCCTCCCACGGTGATGTCTGCCTTCAGGGCAGCTCTTCCTACTCAATTCTCTTAACATTTGTGCCGGCTGTTCCAGAACTGACCTCAAAGACATCCTTTATTGACTTTTTAGTTCTCTCTCAATCCAGTCAAGTTGAAGAGCAAGATTATTCTAGGAGAGCTTTCATGTTAAATTAGAAATACTATCACCGGGCTAAGGAGATTGCCCAGTGGGCAAAGCATCTGCCATGCAAGTGAAGACCAAAGTCTGGATTCTTGTTCCAAAGTAAAAACACAGAGCAAGCAGCAGGCATTATAGAACATAGCCACCAGAACACAAGGAACAGGAAGAAAAGGCCTCATCTCCATCACATGGCTGCTGGATTCACAGAACCACTAGGTGGCACCAGAAAGGTTTTTTTTTTTAATTTTTTTTTTATTATTAATTACACTTCACTCATTCCGTATCCCCCCATAAGCCCCTCCCTCCTCCCTTCCCGGTCCCCCCCTCCCCCCCCCTTCTGCATGCATGCCCCTCCCCAAGTCCACTGATAGGGGAGGTCCCCCTCTCCTTCTTTCTGATCTTAGTCCATCAGACCAGAAAGGCTTTTTAAACACACTGTTGAGTGAGTCAAAACCACAGCTTTGTTTGGTGATGTGAAGATGATGTGATGAATTTGACCCAACTGCTGACCATGTTATCCCTAACTTTATGTCATTGACTTTCCATGAGGTTCATCCGCTTTTATGAGTTGAATGAGTTTATTCAGGGCTTCTTAGTTCCGTACACGTCTCTGTCACTTACATTAGGGCCAGGACGGTGTCTTGTAAAGCCAACAAAGCCTGTGGCTTGAGCCACTTAGAGCTGGGGCTTGTGAGTCAGCACGGTCCTGTAGCTGACACACTCCGATGTAATGTTAAAACAGGAGAAGCACAGATCAGTGCAACAAAGAGAGACTGGGCCAGACAGCACCAGCAGCTAGGGGAAAAGGAGAACCATGTGATGAGGCACGATAATAAACCTTGTTTTCCAAAGAAAGAAAATTAGTATCCCGGGACAGGAGGAGTCCATCCAAGGTTACCAAGGTTTCTTTTTCACATGGCTTAGTTTTTCTGACGTGGATGGCACGGTGTCTGGACTGTGTTCCTCTGGTTTAGCAATGTTTGTTCCGTTAGGAGTTACACCTGTCAACGACAGCTGAGAAATTCGTTTCCTAAGCTTAGAGCTTATATGTAGCCATTTTGGTAACTTTCTCATAATGTCTTCCATGACCTAAACTGTCAAATTTATTCCCCAAAATTAAATTCTCTTTATCTCTGTATGTAGATCAGACTGGCTTTGAAATCAAAGAGAACGCTGCCTTCTGCATTCCAAGTGTTGGGATTAAAGGTGTACACCACCATGCCCAGTCAAAATAGATTATTAAGGAAGTAATATTTAACTGTTTGTGCTGGAACATACCCTTAATACCAGCCCTTGAGAGGCAGAGGCAGAGGCAGAGGCAGATGGATCTCTCTGAGTTCGAGGCCAGCCTAGTCTACAAAGTGAGTCCAGGACAGCCAGGGCTACACAGAGAAACCCTGTCTCAGAAAACTGGAAAAAAAAGGAAGTATAATTAATTTTCTATGTGGGAGCCTGAAAAAGTCAAATCCCACTCTATAGATGCTACATTGAGTATACATACACATGTTGAAAAGTGTTATAACTCAGTCCAGCTTTGACCATTCAATAATGTCACCACACATGGACTGTAGAAGTAACTACAGTGCTTTAATCTACTGCACTAGGGTCCCTTAACTGTTATTTGTGGTGGAATTGTTCTCGAGGAGTATCTTACAATTCTTTACACATAGAGCTATATGGTATGCATTTTTCATGGCTTTATGTTTGACCGAAGGACATTGACAAAGCATCTTCAGTAGTGGCCCTATCTTATGGCACACAAAAAAAATTGAAATTACATTTTTTAAAAGGCTCTTTGGTTTATGTGGTAGAAGTGCAGGTTCATGCGGACATCAGCAGACAGCCTTGGTGGTCATTCCTCAGTCATCATCCACCTTGTGTCGTGATTTGTATGTGCTGAGTGTGTGGTGGGTCTGGGCTGGTGGTGATGTGCATGTAATGTAATACCGGCTCCTCACTGGGACTCCTCTCAGGTACCCTGTTGTTGTCCTGTGTCGTGGAGACCCTGCAGCTTTGAGCTGCCCCTTCACGTGCTCTTCAGTTCATAGATGGAGTAGATGTTGAAGTGGGCCAACTGAAAGCCCTGAATCTGGGCCTGGGTGGCAGCTGAGCTGGTCAGCCCTCCAGCTCTCTCATACCCATGCCATCAGGGAGAGATCTCCAGCACTGACCCGGCTGGCTCACCCATCGACTGTCAAGGGCAGAGTGAGCTCTCCTCCCACCCCCACCCCCACCCCCTGCCCTCAGGGAAGCTCAGGCATGCCCCCATCACCACAGCCAGCTCTACTGTGCTACTGTGCAGGGCCTGCTCTGCCCAGTGCTATAGCTGGTGAGGGGCTGGGTCAGCTCTGCACAGCCCTTGGACATCCATATGGCTCGAGGCGGCAGCCCAGACCTTTGGTGGTAATATAATCAATGAATATCAACACGGACCCTGCTAGTACATGGCCACAGGCTCAGACATGGCCTTCAAGGCAGCATGGGCTGGGAATTCACCATGGCCGAAGGTGGCAGGGAAGGCTACTCACATCAAGCTATTCTTCTCTACCTTGTATCTCCAGTTCTGCCTTACTTCACAGTGCTCAAATCATTCTGCTTCACTCTCTCTCCCATCTCTCCACTGGATACTTGCACCCCCGAGTGGCTCCCATGGCAGGCCAGCCTCTCAGCAGCGGGCCTCTGAGTGTCTTCTGCCCACCTGTGGACCCTGGAATGGCAGGCAGACCTCCCCATCTTTATCTTCTTTTAGGTTCAATGTATCCAGTTTTATATTGAGGTCTACAGTCCACTTAGACTTGAGTTTTCTGGAGGTGATAGACAGGAATCTACTTGGATTCTTCTACAGCTGATACCCACTCAGACCAGCACCATTTGTTGGAGAGCCTTTCTCACCCCCCCACCCCCCACCCCCCACTGTGCATTTCTGGCTATTTTGTTTTGTTTTGTTTTATCAAAAATTAGGTTGCCATAGGTGTGTGGATTTACATTTGGGTCTTTGATTCGATTCCATTGATCAACTTGTCTGCTTTTATGCTCGTTTTTTTTTGTTTTGTTTTTTTTTTTTGTTTTGTTTTTTGTTTGTTTTGTTTTTTTTTTTTTTTTTTGTTACTATAGTTCTGTAATACAGCTTGAAATCAGGGATGATCATACCTCTGTTTTGTTGTTGTTCAGGATTGTTTTAGCTATCCTGGGCTTTTGTTTTTGTTTTTCCATATGAATGTGAGTGTCATCCTTTAAAGGTCTGTAAAGAATTATGTTGAAATTTTGGTGGGGATTGCATCAAATCTGTAGATTGCCTTTGGTAAAATGGCTATTTTTTACTATGTTAATGCTAACAATCTATGAGCATCTTTCCATCTTCTGATATCTTATTCAATTTTTTTTTCTTCAAATACTTGAAGTTTTTTTATATATGTCTTTTATTTCTTTGGTTAGAGTTATCCCAAGATCTTTTATATTGTTTGTGGCTATTGTGAAGGGGGTTGTTTTCCTGGTTTCTTTCTCAGCGCTTTTGTCATTTGTATATAGGAGGGCTACTGACTATTATTAGCTAGTCTTGTACCCAGCCATATCTCTAAAGGTGTTTCTCAACTATTAGAGTTTTTCTGATAGATTTCGGGGCTGTCACGTAGGTATACTATCATATCACATGCAAATAGCAATACTTTGACTTTTTCCTTTCCAGTTTGTAGCTCCTTGATCTCCTTCAGTTGTCTTATTGCTCCAGCCAGAACTTCAATTAATATATTGAATAAATATGGAGAGTGGGCAGTCTTGTCTTGTTTCTGATTTAAGTGGGATTACTTTGAGTTTCTCTCCATTTAATTTGATGTGGGCTGTGGGCTTACTGTAAATTGCTTTTATTGTGTTTAGATATGTTCCTTGTATTCCTAATCTCTCCAAAACTTTTACTTGAAGTGGTGTTGGATTTTGTCAAAGACTTTTTCAGCATCTAATGAGATGATCATGTTGGTTTTCTCTTTCAATTTATTTAC